GCTGGAGCCAAGCCTCAGAGCTAAAGCTGGCCAGGAATTAAAAAAAAAGGAAAAAAAGGAGCAGTTGGGACCTTAAGTCACCCGCCGGCCTGAAAACAGCCTTCAGCCCCTCACCCAGCCTGGCCAGGCACCCCAGTGGGGACCACCACCCTGAAAGGGGTGTGACCAGCTGCAAACAGCCATCATCCCCTCACCCAGGCTGTCCAGGCACCCCAGTGGGGACCCCCACCCTGATCCAGGACACTCTTCAGGGCAAACCAGCTGGCCCCCACCCATGCACCAGTCCTCTATCCTATATAGTAAAAGGGTAATATGCCTCCCAGCACCGGGATCAGCCGAGCTGCGAGGCCTCCCGGCACTGGGATCAGTGTGACAGGGTGCAGCGCCCAAATCCCCTGATTGCCCTGCGGCTCTGTGTGTGACAGGGGGCGGGGCCACAACCTCCCTATCCACCCTGCTCTATTCGTGACAGGGGAAGGCGCCCCAACCCCCTGATCGCCCTGCTCTGTGCCTGACAGGGGGGAGCTCCCCAAACCCTGATACCCTGCGGCTCTGTGTGTGACAGGATGTGGCACCCCAACCCCCTCCCCCCACAGGCCCTGCTCTGTGTGTGACAGGGTAGAGCCATAACCTCCCCATCGGCCCTGCCCTGAGTGTGACAGGGTACGGCGAACCAACTCCCTGATCTGCCCTGCTCTGTGTGTGATGGGGGGGGGTGCCCCAACTCCCCTATTGGCCCTACTCTGTGAGTGACAGGGGGGAGCTCCCCAACCCCCTGATCGACCCTGCTCTGTGCGTGACACCCCCTTATTGTCCCTGCTCTGTGAGTGACAGGGGTCAGCGCCCCAACCCCCTGATTGGCCCTGCTCTGTGAGTTACAGGGGGCGGTGCCCCAACTCCCCAATCAGCCCTGCTCTGAGCCCGACCAGGGGCTGCATCTAGGGATTAGGCCTGCCCTCTGCCACCCGGGAGCAGGCCTAAGCCAGCAGGTCGTTATCTCCTGAGGGGTCCCAGACTGTGAGAGGGTACAGGCCTGGCTGAGGGATCCCCCTCCCCCCCGAGTGCACAAATTTTTGTGCAACGGGCCTCTAGTATATATATAAAACCCTACTATGCAAATAGACTGAACAGTGGAACAACTGAACAAGCGGTCACTATGATGTGCGCTGCCCACCAGGGGGCAAGTGTGGAATATGGTGGGCATTGGCAGCAGTCAGCTGAGTGCAGAACATGGCAGGCGTTGGCCGCAGCAAGGTGGTAGAGCAGGTGAGTGAGGCTCCAGACCAAGGTATGGTGCCAGTCACTGTCATTGGGGCAAGCCACGGGTGGTTACTAAAAATTCTTTGCTCCCAGAGGTCGTGGTCCTGCCAGGCACTCGCACCTACTGCTTTTGCTGGCCCCACTTGCATCCACTGCCAGTGCCTGGCATTGGCCCCTATCGCTCAGCGCTGTCAGTGGGTGTGAGTGGTGGCTGTTGGCCATGATCTCCCCTCAGGGCTTCTCCACTCCCCATGCTTCTGAGGGGCAATCAGGGCCAGCAGCTGCTTCTTGCATCTGCTGCCAGTGACAGCTCCACTTGGACCCACTGCCAGCTCCTGCCACTGGCCCTGATCGCCCCTGAGGGCTACTCCACCTCCTCTTGCTCCTGAGAGGCAATAAGGGCAGCAGCTGCTGCTCACACCCACTGATAGTGCCGGCCCCACTCACACCCACTGCTGGTGCCAGTCCCAATTGCTCAGTGCTGTCAGCCCATGGGAGCAGCAGTGGTGGGAGTGGAGATGCTGGTAGAGAGGGCATCAGGGGCCGCATCAGGAGGGGCCAGGTGGGGGCCAGAGGATGGGCCAAGACCCTCCCCTGTGCCCACCGCAGTCTCACGGCCCAGAGTTCCTTTCAAGGTGCACAAATTGGTGCACTGGGCCCCTAGTGCTTCCTATAATGTACCAAGCACTTTCAGCACACATTTTTGGTAATTCATTATGTGTCTCAGCTAATGGCCACACATATAACCTTGCTGCTGGAAGACAACAATAACAGCAACAACAACAAAAAGGCCACTCATATGTTTTTATTGATTTTTTAGAGAGGGAGGAAAAGAGAGAGAGAGAGAAAAAGAGAGAGAGAGAGAGAGAGTGAGAGACACCCATGCAACAGTCCCCCCAAATGTGCCCCACCAGGGATTGTGGAACATGCAAACTTTTAGTGTATAGGACATGCTCCAACCAACTGAGCCACCCGGTTAGGCCCATAAGTCATTTTTATAATAAGAGCAGCTAGGACAGGTAACTATGTCTTCCCCATTCTCCACATTTTTCTAGGTTATGCAGAAGTTATCACCACAAGGGCAGGGTAGAAATAGGTCTCCAGGTCCTCGTCCTATCCACCTCATCAATGGTGAAACTTTGCCATTGCACTGCTGCCAGATGAGGGCCCACAAGGCCCTAAGTGATAGGGATGGGTCTAACTTCCCGGATTCCTGCCCCAGCAGGGAGTTGTCACCATGCACTGGTGCAGAAACTATCACTGCAGAGTAGTTTTGGAAGAACACAGTTACTGGAAGTTGCTGTGGCTTTCTTTTTTTTTTTCAACTCATCAACATGTTGTGCAAAGTGTGCTACTAAGGTTATCATCCTTCGCTGATCATATGGGTAACTTTAATGCTGCATTCCATGGGATGATCTTAGGCCATAAGTTTTGTAAAATAAGGGTTGCTTGAACACAAGCACTGTGATACCACAGGCTTCTGTCTGGTAACCTAGACGGCTCTTATGTGATCAGTAGGCGGGTAGCATATGCAGTGTGAACACACTATATCCTCTTTATTTCTTTATTTCACCAGTATGAGAAGGTGGATGTTAGTTGAACCTATTGTGGCAATCATTTTGCAATACATGTATATCAAACCATCGTGCTGTAAAGTTTTGTTTCTTTTGATGCTTATGTGTCATTTAACTTGTTTTTTAAAAATCTTCTTTTTCTGCCCTTCCCATTTTTTAAAATAAGGGACTTTTTAAAAATTACCTTTGTTCTCCCCCTACATAGTTAGACTTGGGCTTTGTCATTTACAACAACTAATCCTAATTAAGATAGAGATGGTTGGGATAGAAAATAAACCAACAAAAATATAATCAGTAGCTATATAATAATTTAATCTCTTTCATGGTGATATAGTTCAACATTATATAATGTTCTATCCTTCACAGATACATTATTTTGGCCAAGGGAAGTCTAACTAACATTTAAGAATAATAAAATGAATGAAGCAATTTCTTAAGAACTAGGGCAGAGAAGTTGAGAAGGTAAGTATGAGAATTAATGATTGTTTTGACAGTTATCAAAAAGGTGAAAACATAGTAATTCTTCAGACCATTGGAGACAAATGTGATTAAATAACTATAGTTAATGGGATTATGATTTTAGAAATTTTCCAATTATAATAGAAATTCCATAATGAGAGTATTAGGAAAAGAAGCATGTACTGCCAGGATTCAGTAATCTGTCTAAGAGTAGAATTTAATCATCTACAAGGCCTAAGTGTTCAGTGTTTGGGATTAAGATGTAAGTAAGTTAACAGCATGGGCAGTGAAGTCTTTTGTCCTCTGATATCTTTTCAAATAAGAAAACATCTTCTCAGAGGCATTGCCAATGGGGATAAACTATAGCACGCACTTACCGGCCCAGAGTATCCTACATTCTGGAGGTGTTTGATGACGTAAATCACCTTCAAAATAGCCCAAGTGTAAGAATTTCCTGTTCAAACTTTAAGTGACATATTTATGAGAAATCTACTTTTTCCACTCATGATTCACTGTGAACCCTCACGGGGCAGTCTGTGAAGACCACAGACATTCTTTGCTTACTAGAGAAACCTGGTCTCCCAGTGAAGGATACAGAAGGTATGTGCCTCTATTCTCCTGTCTCTCTGTTAGCCCGTCTCATGTAGTGGGAGATTACAAATGCTAGATGTGATGCAAGGGTGGCACAAGTAAGACAGAATCAAGTAAAAGAGAACATTGGTATCTTTATGTAAATAATTTGTGGCAAAAAAAAATGAGAAAAAAATATGAACTATGTTGGAGGATATCCAATGATTCAAATTCTTGCCTGTAGAGAAGGGGTCAAGTGCCTGCACACATGCATAATTGATGTGTTAAGCAAAAATAATTCGAAGTAGAAATAGGTCTAAACAATTTAAAAACGATTTCCAGCAAGAATCACGAAAGGAAGAGCTATTTTTATTTTATTTTATAATCAATATAGGTATAATTTATATTTAGCCCATCCTGTAAAAAGAGATTGTTAAAATGAATTCTCTGAATTACAGTGGTAATCTAATATACACTTATTTAGATTAAATGGGAGCAGTTGGCTTTTAATATAAATCTGTATGAAATATCTCCCCTAATATGAAAATTTAAGCTTAATTATAAACAATCAAAAGACATTTTAAAAAAGATACGGCACCACACTGACAAAGGGACTCTTGTCTAATGAATTGTGTTACAGCATAATAAGTAAACATATGCTACTAAATAAAATTAATTTACTTCAGAAAGTTACCATATATGCCAACACAACTGATGCCCCATCTTTGGAGCACTCAATCTTCAATCATTATTTGATTTCAAATTTTTCATAAATATTAGAGACTCTTTTTCTAATACATTTTAATTTTAATACAAGCATTCTAATACTGTTAAATATTTTCATGGAATCTGACTTTAAATTAATGACAATGTCATTATTTTGGCTATTCTTTATTCCTCACTGATTTATTGCTCTCTATGGCTCAAACAAATAATATCTTGTCAAATGTAGAATGTCATAAAAACTACATCTACTATGTGCATCTATTTCTGTAAAGATCTAACAAATTTAAAACCAGAGCTTTAGATTTTTCAACTTGGAAATGAGCCCTACTACCCTTTACCCCGCCCAGTTTTACTGTCCTAGAGATCGCATTATTGCATAGGTCATTTATTCGTAAGTACACTTGACTTAGAGCACAGTCTCAAACACTACCCAGCTGCAGAGATGAATAACCAAAGAGTAACCTATGCAGAACTGAATTTGGCCAAGTCCGCCAAGAGACAGCAAAGAAAGCCTAAAGGCACTCAAAGCTCCATTCCAATTACTGAGCAGGAAATAACCTATGCAGAATTAGCTCTTCGAAATGCTTCCCGGGATCTTCAAGGGAGGGACAAGAAGGATCACTCCAAAGGTAACACATTCAATAGACACACAGTATAACTGTTCTAGTATGTGAAGCTGGGGTGCAGAGATGTGGGAAAGTACTGCATTAGCTCACATATTTTTCATTTGTGAGAATCAGCACTTAAAGTTGGAATACAGTATTCTAAGATGAAAGCTGAGGGCTAATTTTATTATTGACCAGTAATGCATATAGCATTATATTTCCTAAACATGCAATGGTATATTCTGAGAGGAAGATTACAGTGGTAGGCATGGGCTTGGTGTCCACGTTTATGTATTTGATTCTCTGTATGTAAACTGTCTAAACAATTCTCTCTCTCTCCTTTCTCAGTGTTTCCTTTTCTCTTCCTGCAGTTTCACCATCACCTCCAGAGAAGCGCATTGCTGGGACCCTAGGGGTCATCTGCCTTGTCCTGATGTCCGCTGTGGTGACAATACCTATTATTTTCTGTAAATACATTTTTGTAAGGTTACACAGAACTTTTCACTTTTCTGTCCATCAGTGCCCCTGAACACTTCATAATGTTATGAAATAGAACTCTGATCCTAAAGTATGCATTTAGACTAATTGCAAAATGGTAATTCTGAATTTGTCCAAGGTATAAATATCAGAACTATTTTAGAGAGTAGATTATAAATATGTGTACACATATATGACCACATATATCCATATATAGAGATATATGTATATATATATATATATATACACACACACATATATATTCTGATTGTATACCTCAAGGTATGCTTTAGTATACCTTATTGAAAAATATAAATTAATTTTTGAGATTGTTTAATCCAAATACTGTGAGATGTAGTTCTCTAGACTTTAAAAATATTTTTCCTCAAAATTGTCATTACTACATTAATTTTCATTGGTAATTAATATTTATCCCAGATAATTCTAATCCTAGACAATACAACACAATTAAACATAAGAAACAAAAGTATTTTGGTGTACTTAGATCAAGATTAATTTAAGAATTACTTTTTTTTTCAGCTAATGTAATACTTGAGCAGAATAATTCGTCATTGAAAACCGGGATCCAGGAAGGTACATAATTATTTTCTCAGCTCTGATAGTATAGTTCATACTTTATCTCTAACATAGGGTAGTCAAAAATAATAGCTTTTAGGAAATTGGGACATAAATTATAATACCAGGCAATAAATATTCATAATAATTATAGAAGAGTGTTTTCTTATGTAACAATATGAAGAAATTTTCATTTAAGATCATAATACCCATTGTTGCAGATGGGCTCAAAGACAATTTTAGGATTCTAAAAAATGGTTTTCTTCATTGACATTCAGGACATGTAGAGAGTGGATATTTTTGTTTTTTTGCTTAATATGGAACGTAAAACAGGAAACAAGAGACTAACCCTTCTCTGTGAACGTGTTTTCTTTTATAAATATTGCACAATTGTGTCTATACCTATGCAAGTATGTAAATTAATTTTAAAAAATTTAAATTGATTTTGATAAAATTTTATAATCTTTCTCCAGCATATTATTGTGGACATTGTCCAAAGGAGTGGTTTACATATTACAACAGTTGCTATTACATCAGTACTGAAAGAAAAGCATGGAATGAGAGTGTGCTGGACTGTGTTTCTAAGAACTCTAACCTGCTTTACATAGACAACAAAGAAGAAATGGTAAGATTTAAATGTTTCCATTTTATTTAAAAGTCTATTTTAGTCTATATTTATAGAATTGATTCATATTTTGTATATATTCATAGTTCACTTATTTTAAAGACTATTAACATGCATTGTTTGACTCTAATATTTTGTTTATATTTTATGCCATTCATGCACATTTGATAATTTCTAGTTCTTGCTTTTTTATAGATAAGCATGTTTCTATAAATGTTTTTTTTTAAAAAGAAACCTTTGCTACTTAATTTTACTATACATCAAGGAAACTGAAGATATCATGATTGTGCAGATTAATTACAAACTTAAGTGACCCATATAATTACAAATCATGATCTAGAAGTTGCCAATCCACCCTAGCCAATCTCTTGCGTGTCTCCTTTAACACTCAGATGATATTTTTGCAATCTCTCCATATTACTGCATTTATCTGTAATTTGTTAATTTTTACTGCTTTATTGTAGGGACATGACATTTTAAATCTGTTCTACCCAGGATATAGTTTTTTCTTAATGTGTGGGTATTATGAATATTTTATGAAAATCCTTGTGTCTGTTTTTTTCAAATATTATATTGTATTTAAAACAATTTATATTTTATATAAATATTAAATATAATACATTATATTAATATACTATAAATGTTATATTTATGATAACATAATAATGTATAAATCTTTAATAATAAAAACATACTATGCTAATTAGACCGGACAGCCAAATGACCTTCTGGACGACCTTCTGGACAAAGACGAGGCAGCTGCCAATGCTGTGAGGGCCTAACCCCTTGGACAAATTTCGTGCATTGGGCCTCTAGTATAATTATATGATTATAATCGCATATGTAGATAGTTAAAATTTACTCTCCTCTATGAATCAGAATGAAATTACACAGTCATAAATATATGTATATGCCAAATTTATTAGATTATCCCAACATTTTCTAGTTTATTATATAAATACACATTTTATCCAAAAATTCCATGATCCAAGATTTAGTACTGCCAGAACGTTCAATGCTATACATTCTGATCATTGTATAAAAGTATCATTTTGACATAAATAGGCATTTTTCTGATTGCTAAAGGATAGAACACATCTTTCTGGGCACTAGTTCTTATGGAATTATGTATCGAGAGAATGAGAGCTGCCTGTTCATGTCTCTCTACCACTTCCCCTGTGTCCAGCCTGTTATTTTCCTTCCTAGAATTGTTATATTTTCTATATGAGCTTTTTTTAATTTGTAAGTGCAAATAGTTTTTTTGGCTGTTACTTACATTTTCAGTCTCATATTGGGGTCTTTAAATGACCTGAATTTATTAATGTTAACCTAGTCCAATATCTCATTTTGGGTGTTAGTGATTATTTTAGAAGTTAGTGAAAGTTTGTGAAGACAATCTGCTATATTATATGAGAGATACATCCATTAGTTGCCTCCTCTATGTGCCCCAACTGAGGTTCAAACCCACAACCGAGGTATGTGCCCTGACTGGGAATTGAACCCACAACCTTCTAGTCTATGGGATATAGCTACAACCAATTGAGCCACACTGGCCAGGGCTGCCATCATATTTTCATATAGTTATTTAAGCATAGTATTTTTCAAATATATTTATAATAACTACTTTAAAATATTTTCTAATAAATCCAACATCTTATCCCAGTGAAAATTAGATTCTATTGACTGATCCCCCCATCAAGTTTAAAAGACATTTTATAGTTTCTTCGCATGTTTCCTAATTTTTGGTAAGTACATATTTTTGATAATATAATATAGTAAATATGGATTCTGCATCTTTCTTAGCCTTTTTGTAACTTCAATAAACTTTTAGTGTAGAATCTTCTCTTTTAAAGTGTGCTTAGTTTTTTAAATTCTCATTATCTGTTTTTATATTTTGTAGATTTATAATTTACTTACCAGAGATTAGCCTTGTGTTTGCATAGATTAGCAGACAACCAATGATTTTTAAAAATGTATTCAAATACCTCAAATCAATATGGCTTTCACCCTCTTAATTTGATGTTCGTGTGTGTGTGTGTGTAGAAAAGTGCTCACGATTTTTAAATCCATTCTCAAGTCCCTTTGGCTTTTATTTTTTACTATGTCATCTTTGTTTCTTCTATACATGTGCAAATTTTCCACCCGTCAGTCAAGCACATGCAGAAAGCTAATGTGATCTCTTCTATTGCACTCTTACTTTTACTAGTAGTACCTTCCTGTTATGTTTATGGCCTGCACTGTGCCTGACACAATGGAGAATACAGCCTCAGTCTAGGAAAAGGATAATTTCCTTCATTTATTACCCAGTAAATTCAGCACAATGAGCTGAAAAATACTAGCAGTGGGCAACTTAACAACCCCTTCAACTGCTTATCAAGTCTTCCCGTTGATACCAATAATGCCATTGATATATGCAGCCTTCCCCAAATTAAAAAAATTACAATTTTTACTCACTGAGCTGAGTTGAGGGTTAGGGGAGAAATGGGAGCAGCCTTAGATAAAAAGACAACAAATTTGCTCTATTTTTACCCGAATCTCTAGAAGCTTTGCCAATAATTAATAATTATAAATTTTTATTAGTTTTCAATCAACCTTCAGAGCTGTGAAATTGGTATTTTTCTCCATTTGTCCTCTTCACTTAATGGTACTAATACATTTTCCTAATGTGTCCATTGTGTAACAACATATTGCAAATTGAAAGACTGTAAATTAGAATTAAATTTATTTGTTTTTGTTTTCCATTTTTAAAATCATCATTATTTTAGTTGCAAATTACAATTTACTTAGTTACTCAATATTATATTTGTTCCCATTTGAAATCTCATAGCTTGCCATATAAAACATTGCCTTCAGTTTCAAACTGCTATGTAAGAATTCATAAAATACAAATTATGAATTAAGATAATTATCTTTAAATTATTCAGATTAGTGCATTGAAGCAACATTGATTAAAAAGGCAAGTGAATTAATTGGAAAATGTAATTCCTTTTTTAATGGTACAAAATGGTTACCTCTATATGGAAATGAAGAACAGCTTAAAGTTTATACATTTTCATATTAAGCACTTGAGGCCCGATGCACGAAATTCAGGTGTCCCTCAGCCCAGCCGGCACCCTTTCCAATCTGAGGCCCCTTGGGGGATGTCTGATTGCCGGTTTAGGCCCAATTCCTCTCACAACTATAATATAGTCCGCTGGTGGGCTGAGGGGACTGGGAGACTGAGTCTGGATGAGGCGGGGCTGGAGGCACTGGGTGTCACTATTGTGAGGGTGTGATGGTCAATTAGCATATTCCCACTTATTTATGTTTTGTAATTCCCATCCATGAAATACCTGTTTATGACATTTTATTATTTTTTGAGTTATTTGTCTTTTCCTTATGACTGTCCGTGTTTTTAAAACACATTCTGTATTCTGTTCTTTTATTGATTCTGTTTATTGTAAATATCTTTTTCAAGTTTGTGATATTTACATTTTACTTTCTTCCTGATACTTTCAATAATAGATATTTAAAATTTTAACACAGTCAAATTTATTAATGTTTCTTTATGACTCATGATTTTATATTAAAAATATTTTACTAAATATATTTGTATTTTTTCTAAACCTTTCTAAATTGTGTTTCTTGCATTTTAATTTTTAATTCATCTGCAATTGGATATTATATATGGTGTGGGATAGAAAACAAATTAATTTTTATTCATGTGACAAAAAAATGTTATACATTTTGAAACTTTTTTCCAAAAGGTGTTCTTTAAATTCAGTTGTAAATAAAATCATGGTGATGCAAAGTACAGCATAGATAGAGAATATAGTCAACAATATTCAAATAACCATGAATGGTGCCAGGTGGGTACCAGACCCATTGGGGTGTTCACCTCAAAAGGTATACATGTGCCCAATCAACATGCGGTACACCTGAAACCAAAACAATATTGGATATCAACTGTAACTGACAAATCTTTTTTAAAGTTGCTCAAAAATTATTCTTATTGTTTATTATTATCAGAAACTGCATCCAAATTCACAACATACAAATTAAAACCGAAATAAAAATAATTATAATTTAATCACTTAAAATATAAAGGTTAAGAGTTTTGTTCCATTCTTCATTGCTAGCCAGCTGTAGGTTTCTATATTTCTTTAATGGCTTGTGCATCAACAGCAACATGCAGGAATCCTTTTTCTGATATTCTGCTGCCATGACAGTTGCTGGTTGGCTTGTTGGACACGCACTCTTGCACTTTCAACTTTGCCTTCTATGCTATCTATCACATCTCCTTGCTCATGAATTATCATTCACAAATCTTTAAATAGCTCATTTATATCCACACTATCAGCTTCATATTGCCTAACAGAAGCCTCTCATGAGTAAGGCAAAGGTCATCCTCCCT